CCATTATTCTGTCTTCTTTTGAAAAGTTTCAGTTCATGTCCTTTGCCCACTGGAAATTAGTTCTTAATCTCTCTGTCCAGTCAATCTCCTACCATGCACGGAAAATATACTTTAGGTCTTTATGTTATTTGGCTTGTATTCCATTGTCAATGACATGAACCATGATATATGAAATTTTTAAATGGAAAACATCTATATTTTGGTCAAAGCTGGGTTAAAGAAATAGATTTAAAGAAAAATGGGCATGTTTAAAGCTGCTTTTAAAACATCTGAAACTAGAGATTTTACTCATTCAGACCGCATTTTAGATAAACTGCTTTTTATCTTTTGTGAATACAACTTATTTTTAGCTTTCAACAGATAGATTATTTCCTCCTACCAGTCCTCTTGCTCACCCTATTATTTTAATGATCTAATAGTAGTAAAAGTGATACATTGGGGAAAAAAAGAGATGAATTTGAATCAACCTTTACCTTTAAAAAAAAAATAACATCACTGCAATTAAAATGTACTTGTTTTTATGTAAGTAAAGGAAGATAATTTTAGAGGGGAGTGATTGGAAATAAAAACTTCTTTTCTCAACACCCAGAGATATCATGTCTCTATCTTGAGGTATACATGTCCAAAGGAAAAATTGTAACTTTGTTTTAATAATAGAAACAAGTTATACATAAGATGAGTGAAAGATTTAAACAACTTTTTTCCTAGTTTGGGAGTGGGTCTGCCAGCCGTGTTGCATGTTTTATCTTTTCTGGTGTGTATGTAAACAATCTTTTTGTAAGGACTTTTGTCTCAGAAATCACAGAGAAAGCAAACCAAGTTGTAGGACATGCCCATGTCTGTCTCTTGTTGTGTGAATTTAACGCACCCAAATGCCTATATTTGCTATTATGAGTCACCTCACCAAGAGCTTTATTCTACTTGGAGCCTGCCTAGAGGCAGTTTGAGGTTTTCAATATTAGATATGCATTTGAAAAGAATGCAGAAGCTATGACAGCTGTAAAATGAATTTAAACTTTTGTCCCCAGTACAGTGGTCTCTGTCCAATAGACTCGAACTGAAAGTGTCTGATTGACTATTGCTTAATGCTATTCTGTCATATACTCCTATGAATGATTTTGTAATACATACATTCATTTGTAAGTGAGGAAGTAGTTAGCATTTTATCTGAACATTATTTTGAGTCTTTTAAGAATTTTAAACAACTTGCCTTTATATATCCATAGCTCATGGAACAACCTAAGTGAAATGAATCTATGTCAACCGGAAGACTGGAAATATAGAGAAACAGGTGTACAATTTTGAAATCAAAAAGAAATTTCATCTCAGTTCCTCATTCTACTAACTATGTGGCCTAGAGCAAATAAGTCAGTTTTTTCTGAGCTTCAGTATACAACCGCTCC